CCCCCGCCCGGCCATGCGTGGACCACCTCGTGGCGCCAACGGCCGCCATTATGCTAAGATGCCCACTGCCGTGCGCAACAGTCACAATTAAAAATGCCTCGGGGCGGCAGGGCGCCACCATTCCTCTAAGATGCAGACTGCCGTGCGAAGAACTCACAATCTGTATCATTGGGCTGGAGCACGAAGAGTAGTAGCCGCCAACGGCGGGACAGCACCCGCCCTGCAACACGTGGACCACATCGTGGCGCCAACGACCACCGTTCTTCTCAGATGCCCGCTGCCGTGCGAAGTATTCGAAATATGTTAGCTTCCCGTTCCCTCCTCGGGAGCGCAAAAACGGCGACAGTGATATTAGAACAGATACAACGCCTGATCCGTCTACTCCGTCTCCTCCGTGACAAGCGGACACGCCCAAGCTGTTCTAAAAACTATGGAAAAGAAATGTTTGCTGGCTTCTTCGAGCTCTCTGGGGAAACCTCTTGGAGGCCTCTTGGGTATCTTGGGTCTCTTGGGCCGGCCGTCTGGAGGCCGTCTTGGGCATCTTGGACAATCTATGTGGCCTTCGGCCCATCCCGCCACCGCGCCTGGGTTGTGGGTTAGAGGCCTCTTGGAAGTTCGTTTGGATGTCGTGGCAAGCCTCTCAGGGGCCTCTTGGAGGTAGTTTTGGAAGCCTCTTGGGTGCCGTTTGGGGGCCTCTGGGAGCCTCTTTTTCGGCCTCTCGGGGGCCTCGTGGGCCTCTGGGGGGCTTCCAGGGCTCCCTTCCCTTGGGGGCCGCTGGGGGCCTCCGGGGGACCTCCTGGGGCGGAAGGCTCGAATCGTCGATTCGCGTTCTCTCTCTTGGGCCCTTCTTGGGGCCATCATGGGGCCCTCTTGGGCGATCATGGCCCCCCTGAAAGGCCAAGAAGCCCTTCAGGGGAGCCAAGAAGCCCTTCCGGGGGGCCTTCACCACACTCCAGGACTTACCTACTCCGGAGACCTCTTGGCCGTGCTGAAGCCCACGGGGCCGCACAAAAGCCCATCTGGCCGCAGTACAACCTCATCTCCCCCCTCACCCTGCCCCCTTCTGCGCGTGGCTGGTAAAGCCTTATCTCCCCCTCGCCCTACCCCCTCCTGCGCGTGGCCGACAGCTCGTCCTCGCGCGCCCCAAGACAGTGGCGCTGAAGAGCAACCCGAAAGAGCCCGGCCCCGACCCTGTGGATGCAGGGCGCCTGTGCGCGCGAGCGGCATGCAGCAAAGCGCCTGGGGAGCCCACGAGCTCGACGTGCCGAGTCCGGCGAAAAAACTCAGGAGACCCTGCTCCGAGTGCACAGCCCCCCAAGAAAGGACGCCTCCTCCTCCTTCTTCTCCTCCTCCTCCTCCCCCCCCTCCTCCTCCTCCTCCTCCTCCTCCTCCTCCTCCTCCTCCTCCTCCTCATCATCATCATCATCGTCTACATCCCTGCCCTGCCCCCCCTTCCCCTCTCCCTCGTCCTCGGCCCCCCCTCCGACTCCACCCTCGTTCCCCTTATGTTTAGATTCCTTTCTCCCCTGCTCTTCCTCCCTCCTCCGACCTCCTCCCTCCTCCGACCTCCTCAACCGCTGGGCAGAGGGCTCGCTGGAAGTCAGCAACGAGAGGCCTGCGTCGCGCTCGCAGCAATGACGACTGTCGGCTCATTGAGCCCGCGCCGCTGGGGAACAACCCAGTCCTCTCACTGCCCTCCTCCTCCTGCTCCTCCTCCTCCTCCTCCTCCTCCTCCTCCTCCTTCTCCTCCTCCTCCTCCCCCTCCTCCTCCTCCTCGTCTTCCTCTCCTGGGCCTTTCTGGCCCCTTCGTGGCCACGGCTGGACGCGGCTACGCAAACTGCCCGTGAACTTCGGGATGCCTTCCTGCTGACCTCGGACCTGTTCCGTAACCACCCTGCCCCCTCCCTTTTGCATCGAGTGACCTACAACCCGTTGTTCGATATGCTCGCTGGTGCAAGAAAGCTGACTGGGTATTTGTGAAGCCTGCTCGTGCTCGGACGGCCCAGAAAATCGAACGCCCCCCCCGGCCCTGGATCCAGAACGGACCCGGATTCTCCTGCGGACTGGAACGGATTGGACCGGAAGGGCCATTCTCCAGCCTGGAGCGGAACGCGAATGTTCGGGACCGGTTTTGGTTTGGGGCCAGCGCGGACTGGAACGATTTTGAATAGCCTGGGCGCCAGGAGCAACCAGGAGAGGATGAGGGGATGGAGAGGGATTTGTATTTTCGCCTCAGGGCAGTGCGGTGCCGTGGGATCACTGTGGCAGTTAAAAGACTGGGAGAGGTAATACCACGGAGGTAGAGGATGAAGTGGGGGTTGACCTCATCATTGCGGTGCGAGAAACAGACATGGCAGGCTACAGTTAAAGGAGGGTGCTTATGGGAAAAAGAAAACAACAAAAACAAAAAAACAAAAGAACAAAAAAAAAAAAAAAAAAACATGAGGAGACCGAGAAAAGAACGGGCGGGATGCCAGACCCCTCCGCCCCCTCGCAGGGGGTTGGAGGACGCCGGACAGGGGTGGAGGAAACGGAGCAGGGGTGGAGGAAACGGAGCAGGGGCGGGGAAAGCAAGAGGAAGAAAAAAAGAAGCTGGCGCGGGGGGGGCGGACCAGCGGAGCCGAAACGGCGTCGGGGGCGGAGAAGACGAGAGGACGAGAAGACGAGGCTGGGGCGGGCGGCGCGGCGCGGTGGCGGAGACGACGGGGCGCAAGAGCGGAGAAGACGCGGAGACGAGACGGGGGCGGGCGGCGCGGCTCAGGGGTGGTGGAGAGAACAGGGCGGGGCCGGAGAGAACGAGGAAACGAGAGAGCGAAACCTGCACGCGGGGGGGCGCGAGACGGGGGCGGCGACAACGGAGCAGGGGCGGAGTGGAACTGGACAACGGGGCAACGGCACTGCGGTGGGGGGACGCGCAAGAGGGGCGGAGAAACTGGACCAGGGGCAGAGAAAGCGAGAAAACGGAGCGCAACAAAACGACAGCAGAAACTGAAGTTGGGCGGGATGCGGGTGCAGAGGCCGGCGCAGAGGCGGAGGGGCACGAGGGAGCGCGAAAGCGAGCCTGGGGCGGGGGGGACGCGAGACGGGCGGAGAGCCTGGCGCCAGGGACGGGGGAAGCGAGAGGTCGAAGAAGGAAGGGCAACTGGGGGCGGGGACGCGGGCCAGGGGTGGAGAGCCAGGGGGCAGGGGCGGAGAACACGAGAGGAAACGAAGCCAGGGCGGGGGACGCGGAGGAGGAGTGGGGAAACGGGGGAGCAGGGACCGAGAGCACAGGAGAACGACACTGGAGGGGAGGTGCGGAGCAGGGGAGGCTCGGCGGTGGACAAACACTCCCTCTAGTAAACCACCCTTTGGCGAAAGCGGCCCAGGACCGAAACCGACGGGCCTGGACCCGCAGAGACGACGGCCGCGACGCCCTCTCGCGAACCGAAAACGGCCAAATCGTTCGCTGATCGGCGTGTCAGGGTAGGAGGTCTGTCCACCCCCGAGAGGAAGCGGAGCAGGGGCGGGGGGAACGAGAGAAGTAGAGAACGGTGCTGGGGCGGGCGGCGCGAAAGAGGGGCGGAGGAAGCGAAGCGGGGGCGGAGAGAACGAGAGGCCGAGGCTAGGGCAGGGGACGCGGAGCAGGAGAGGAGGAGCCGGAGCAAGGGCGGAGGAAACGAGAGAACGAAACTGGGATGCCGGGTACAGTGGAGACCCATGCCAAGAAACACCCTGCTTGCCTCCAGGGTGCCCTTGGTTTCTTGGGTTTCGATGGCTTTGCTACGGAAAGCGTGACGTTCCCGCACCAAAAATCTATGGACATCCTGGGATCTCAGGGTTGGGTTTCTTGTGGCAGGTTTCTTGTGGTCGGGCCCCCACTGTACTGAACAAGGGTGGAGAAAACAAGGCAAAGGCGGAGAAAACAAGGAAACGAGAAACCCGAGCTGGCGTGGGCGACGCGGAACGGGGTGGAGGGAACGGAGCAACGGCGGAGAAAACGAGAAAGCGAAGCTGGGGCTTGGGGCGCGGAGCAGGGACGGATAAACCGGAGCAGTGGCGGAGAACACGAGAAAACAAAACGTGGACTGGGGGGGTGTGGATCAGGAGCGGAGAAAACAAGAAAACGAGAAAACGAGACAACGAAACTAGGGTGGGCGACGCGGAACAGGGGTGGAGAAAACAGGGGAGGGGCGGAGGACACGAGAAAAGAAAACTAAGTGTGGGGGTGCGGGGAACGGGGGTGGGGGAAACGCAGCAGTGGAAGAAAACGACAACACAAGAGACAGAACTGGGGTGGGCGACGCGGAGCAGGGGTGGAGGACACGGAGCCGGGGCAGAGATGACGAGAGAACGAAGGCAAGGTAGGGATGCGGAAGACACGGTGGAGGAACCAGAGCAGGGGTGGAGGGTGGGGGAAGGAAAACGAAGCAGGGGCGGAGAGGACAAGAGAGCAAGAAAGCGAAACTGGGGTGGGCGTCGCGGAACAGGGGCAGAGGAAGCAGAGCAGGGGCGGAGAACACGGGATAGCGAAGGTGACGCGGAACAGGGGTGGCGAAACCAGAACAGGGGCAGGGAAGCATTAGAAAACAAAACTGGGGTGGGCGACGCGGAACAAGGGTAGAGGAAACGGAGCAGTGGCGGAGAAAACGGGATAACGAAGGTGACGCGGAACAGGGGCGGAGAAACCAGAACAGGGGCAGGGAAACATTAGAAAACAAAACTGGGGTGGGCGACGCGGAACAAGGGTAGAGAAAACGGAGCAGTGGCGGAGAAAACGGGATAACGAAGGTGACGCGGAACAGGGGTGGAGAAACCAGAGCAGGGGCGCGGAAAAACTGGAAAACAAAACTGTGGTGGAGAGTGCGGAACAGGGGTGGTGCACTTCCCGCATGGCAGCTACTACATGAACACCCATTCCATGCAGGCCAGCTCGAGGATGGTGCACTTCCCGCAGGGCAGCGGTTGCGTGAACCCTGCTTTCACGCGCGCCCGCTCAAGCATTTCCCGCATGGTTGCAAACTTCTGGGTCCCTCATCCCGCGCGCAACCGGTCGACGATAGTGCATTCCTGCACTCACAGCCGCTGTTCCCAAGCAGTTACGAGCCGAGATGACGGGGGCAGCCAGGCAAGGGAAGGCAGCACAGATGCGGGCAAGAAAGACGGTGACCAGACAGGGTGCTTGCCTGACCGGGCCAGAGCCTTCGATGAAGGTCGCTGCTCTGACAAAGCGTGTACACATAGGCAAGGCAGTCTCCATGCCCCGACCTTGAAGGCCACAGAAAGGAGGAGAAGGAGGAGGAGGAATTGGAGAAGGACTGAGGAGGACGAGGAGGGCAGACGGAGGGAAGAGGACTGAGGGATGGAGGGAGGGATGAGGCCGCCAGGCGGGCGGGACAGAGTCGGCGATGCACTGGGACCGCTGGACTGCGGGGCTCTCACGCCGCCTTGGCCAACGTCTGCTCGAACAGGCGCAGCACCACCTTCCTGTCGCCAGAATTTGTGAAGTGAGTGCTCTTGAAGGTCTTTCGGAACCCTGCCACGGTGTTCCCCTTCATCGCGGTGACGCTTTCACTTAGCCGCCGCACCTCGGGGTGGACCTCGGCGTTGGCTATGTTACCGAAGCTCAGCGCGAGGCTGAACTCCAGCAGGCACCACCCGCGGGAGATGTACTCTCGTCCGCGTTCCACTTCCTCCTCCATGGGCAAGACGACGACGGGCGTGCTGCCGACGCTGTACATCGTCTCCATGGAGTCCAAGGCCTTCTTGAAGCGCGCCTCCTCCGCCACTGTGCGAACAGCCGGATGCGTCCCAGGCAAGGGCCATTTGCCCTCTTTGTCCAGGCGCGCCAGGTCCTCGTCCAGCTGGTTGTGCTGCGGCAAGCTCATCCAGTCGAGAAAGACCCCATCCTCCTCCTCGGCGCCGAGGGCGTCCAGCTGCTCCACCAGAGCTCTGAGCTTCGTCCCCGCAGGGTCGGGGTGCTCCTTGGACAGCCAGGGGTGCGAGGTGACGAACCGGTGCTTCTGCTGGCCCCTGTTGCGGGGGAATCCTTCGCTGCCGAGCGCGGCCTCGGACGCGGGCACCTCCTGGCTCCTGGGCAAGATGCGCCCCTCTGCGAGAAGCCGTCGGAGGAAGCGCAGGCGCACCCACTTGACCTCCACATCGTCGAGGTAGGCGAGGTAGCGCTCGTAACATTCCTGCAGCCGGACCTCCGTGTAGGAGTTGATGGCCTCGAAGGCGTCCTCCGCCAGACGCCTCAGGCTGGGCGGCCCCACGAGGCCCGACAAGAGCGAGACGGCGAGGCAGTCGAAGAGGTTGTCCAAGATGTTGGCCATTTGGAATTCTGAGGTAAATTCTGGGGTCTCGTTCCAGAGCGCGGCTACCCTCAGCATGAAGGTGGCCATGGCGAGCCAGAAGGCTGCGGCGGTCAGAGCCCCCCAGGCCGCGGCGCGCCTGATCGCCGCGTCGCTGGAGCGCGCCGCGCGCGCGGCGGGGGCGGCCAGACCCCACGAGGCACCGGCCAGGAAGGCCACTCCCAGGGCTCCGAAAGAGCCCACGACGACCATGTCCAGGGCGCTCTTCAGCGGCCCGTCGGCCTGGAAATCCTGTAGGTAGTTGGCGCCGACGAAGATGGCCCCGCAGAGGAGCTGGCCGGACAGGCAGCAATTCAGGAAGCGCGGCAGCCAGGGGTGCCCCAGAGCCCTCACCTTCATGACGACCAGGCCGACGGAGATCGCCTTCCCTGCGCCAAAGAAAGGCAAGTTCCAGAACACGAGCACATAGACCGCAGCGTCCGGGTAACAGGGCTTCAGCCAGAAGTCCAGCGGGCCGGCCGCGGCGTAGGCCGCGCCGCACGCGCCGTAGCGCCACGTCCACGCGTGCAGCACCAGCCCCCAGCTGAAGGCGCGACGCCGGCCGACGCACCACGCAGCCAGCACAGCGTGCGGCAGCCATCCAGCGGCATATCCCCACCACACGGCGTGCGGCTCCAGCCCCGGGTCGCTCGAGCACGCGCGTCCCGCGGCGGCGCCCGCAGCACAAGCGAGGCCCCAGCCAGAGAGCACGGCCAGCGCTGGCGGCCACTCGAAGCGGGGTCTCGCGCCGCCCTCCCGCGGCTGCCGGGGAAGCTCGGACGCTGGGCCCGCCTCGCCCTCGCGCGGCGTGGCGCCCAGCGCGGCCTCTGCTGACTCTGGCCGCAGCTCAGGTCGGCGTCCGAGCACAGCGGGCTCTGGGCCGCTGTTCGGCAGCGGGGCGCCGAGTCCAGCAGCGTCGCCCGCGGACGCACTCGCCAGCATGGGGCCTCCCCTTGCCCTCCGCGCGGCGCCGAGGAGTTCGCGGCACGGGCAGGCGTCCTTGAGCCACCGGTGCGACGGGTCACAGGTCACAGCCCTTCGCCCTCACTCCCTCGCTCCGCCCCCCATCTGGGGAAACCAAAAGGTACCGGTGCCGCTACTCCCTGGACCTTTCCTGGGGTGCGTTCTGACCAGAATTTCGAAGCGAATCCAACGGTGGCGACGAGGG